CCTTGATAAAGTAATATTGTTAATGTTATTACGTTACACTGAACTACACTGAGATAAGCTACAGTAAAGTCTAGAAATGTCAGTTATTTAGAAGCTTTATTATATAAATTTGCTTATTTTTAAATACATTTCATAAATTTTTTGTGATCAACACAGGAGGCTAATAAGAGAGGATTGTAAAAATTACTTACTCTGTAGACTTAATCTTGGTTTTATATTCCTGATTATTAGGCTAAATAAAATCCCCCAAATAGTTAAATTTAAGTGTTTTCAGCCTTTTTATGCAGGAGCAATGTGTTGACATGTGTAGGCCTAGTTTTCAAGTTATATACTGTTCATTTTTTATTTATTTATTTTTAGCATAACATCCCATTGAAGGAGAACAAAAAATAGTCTGCACAGTGAAAAAATAATTCAATAATTCTTGAGACATTTTCAGATGTTCTCCTTGGGAATGCTACTGGACCAGTTGATAGGAATTTGGTGGCGTAAGGAATTGCTTTTCTGGAATGCTCGTCACGTTGCCCCACGACATGAAGGCACGTAGACCCACTGCTATAAAGCTGAGTCGTCTTCATTTATGAGCAAACTGCGAGGTGGATCCTGAGCTGCTGTTTGATTTCACTGACACACTCACTATTACATTGGACAATGCTGCGAGTCAGGTGTCTGAGGGGAGGTAGCAGAGCGGCCGAGGCTGCCCATCTGATGGGAGCCATGGTTGGTATTATGGTGGTTTCATGTCTTTAGAAAAAGTTTAATTTTTTTTTTTGTTAAAAGAGAAAGCACATTAATCAGTTATCACGAGAAAACTGTGCATTAAAAAATCCATGGCCGTTCTCGGCTTCGGTTTATGCCGTTATCTTGTGATAACGAATTATTATCTCGTTATCTTGATATAACAAAGTTTGTTTTCTCGTGATAACGAATGAATTATTTCGACATCTCGATATAACAAAGATCGTTTTCTCGTGATAACTAATTAATGAATAATGTATTCGTCTTGATTTCAACCTACACTTGAGCTGCTCCTGAGCCAGCAGAGGCCACACTATCTGTGGAGATAACGCTTCTTAATAACACGTGTACTTCGGCACCAAACAAACTGAAGGCATTTTCTCATCGATATCTTCAATCTTATGTATTCTTTAATCAGCCAACAGCGTTTTATTGTATTTGTACTAGGCTTTTTTGATTGTGAGCTGCCAGCAAAGTCATGTATTTGACTAACACTTCTAATTTCACTTCATTTCTGGCACTAAAGTTAAAAAGCATACAGCAATGGTGATTACACTCAGCTACTTTTGTTTACAATATTAATATGTATACACTGCATTTTTCTGAAAAAGGTTTATTAAATCTATAGAATTGGCATATTTTCATACAAAAGTCTTTCTCAGTATCTATAATGTCACTTCCACAGCACAAAACTGAAGGACATTTTTGTGCTGCAGAGTATGTAATTGTATTTGGTTTTGATTTGTTTTTTCCCCTCCTCAGCTTGGCCGGGCGGTGACTGGATGGGTGCAGAAGGCCTCCCAGAGCACTTCAAGTGCAGCTGCTGCACAGCCGCAGCGTGCAGTTGAAGAGGAACATGTTACTGAGCCCATAAAACAGGAATGTCCTGTCTGCAGCTACAATGAATGGGACCCTCTGGAGGAGGTGATCGTGGGCCGTGCTGAAAACGCCCATGTGCCTCCCTTCAGTGTGGAAGTGAAAGTAAGCTGTAATGTCAAGATGACGTCTGTGCAGATCACATAACTTACATATGTGGGCCACTGAGTATCCAAACCGTAATATGACACCTAAATTGAATTGTCAAACAGTGAGATTAACTCCATATTGTCATATCAACCTCTCAACAGACTAACACATACGAGAAGGATTGGTCCTTCTACAATAAGTATGGGGGCCAGTCTTTTCCTGAGGACCACTTGAAGAAAGCTGTTGCCGAGATTGAAGAAATGTGCAATATTCTGCGTCAGGAGGGCGTCGTTGTGAGGAGGCCAGAACCCGTCGACTGGTCCATGGAATACAAAACTCCAGACTTCACATCCTCAGGTAAAAAAATAGACAAGGCAGAGGTATATAACTCAAACCCTGTAAGACACCAGCCACACATAGTGTACTTACACACACACAAATACTGTAGTTACTTGTAATAAACTTGAGTATTTCCATTTTATGTTACTGTTCTACTACTACTTCTACTCTACTGCATTGATTTCACTACTTTAGTTACATAAAGATTCATCTACGTGTAACTGAATATTGTGTAATGTTACTTTTACTTAAGTAAATGATCTGACTGCTTCTTCCAATGCTGGTCTCACATTTATCTGTGTATGATAACACGTACAGTATGTTAGCACATCATGTTGTATTTCATAAAATATTCTATGTAAGCTAACTGTGTGTTGTTGAATCTGTTGTAGGCATGTACGCTGCCATGCCCAGAGACATCCTTATGGTTGTGGGAAATGAGATTATTGAGGCTCCCATGGCCTGGAGGGCTCGTTTCTTTGAGTACCGGGCCTACAGACCTTTGATCAAGGAGTACTTCAGAAAAGGTGCTAAATGGACCACTGCTCCTAAACCCACTATGGCCAATGATCTGTACGATCAGGTAAGTCTTCATCTTGTGAGATTCATTTAAGATGCCATACGACAGCACCTGTTGAATGTTTGTGGGCTGTGTAGAACTTGTGTTTTTTGAAGGGTTGGGAGTGCACAGAGTTAAACCTGCATTTAAACGCATTCTTTAGGTCCTTCATATCACCTCTGAACTCTTTGCCCCGGGCTATTTATTGCACTGTACGTGCAAGAGACTGTAAACTACTGATTAATTGCTACAGTGTAAATCATTATTGCCTGGTGTCATTCAGAACTACGCCATGCACACTGTGGAGGACAGACACAAGCTGGTCGCCCAGGGGAAGTTTGTGACCACAGAGCACGAGCCCTGCTTTGATGCTGCTGATTTCATCCGAGCTGGGAGGGATCTGTTTGTCCAGAGGAGTCAGGTATGAAGGCTGTTAAAATTATCAGCAAGTCTGCTGTGCGATAGGGTGACAAGATAAAGCAACATTTTGCTAATGTTAAACAGTAGATAACACATAGAGGTCTCTGTCACCGATTTACTATTTATTCACTCAAATCTAATACAGGTCCACAAAAGAATGCTGTACTTGAATCTTAATATACAACACTGGTAACGCCCTCAAACCTCCTCTTTTATTGTTTTTTTGCAGGTTACAAATTACATGGGAATTGAGTGGATGCGTCGTCATCTGGCCCCAGACTACAAGGTCCACATAATCTCATTCAAGGACCCTAACCCCATGCACATTGATGCCACTTTTAACATAATTGGGCCAGGACTGGTGCTGTCAAACCCTGTTCGTCCATGTAACCAGGTACTGTAAGGAAAGGCTACTTTTCATTTCTCACAGTGTCCTGTGCTGCCCTCTTGTGGACTGATACTTAGTTTGATACATAACTCTTTGTCCTTTACCTCAGGTCGACATGTTCAAGAAGGCCGGCTGGACTATTGTGAAACCTCCAGCGCCTCTGATCCCTGATGGTGGGTACTTTAAACTAAAATGTATCTTCTCTTACTCAAGCAAAACATTTGAATTTTTTGGTGGAAAAAATGACACTCTCTCCATTTCTATGTAGACCACCCACTGTGGATGTCCTCCAAATGGCTGTCCATGAATGTCCTGATGTTGGATGAAAAGCGTGTTATGGTTGACGCCAATGAAAACAGCATGCACAAAATGTTTGAAAGTCTCGGTGAGTTATTCCAGTTTATTTTGGCATTATTTTACATTCTTTAAGATTAATTTCAACGGATATTTTGATCTTACAATTGATCGATAATAAGGCCTCTGTGCTGTGTAATGATACGTAAATGTGTTTTTTGTTGCAGGTATCAAGTCCATAAAGGTGAACATTCGCCATGCCAATTCCCTGGGTGGTGGCTTCCACTGCTGGACAACCGATGTCCGCCGCCGTGGTACCCTGCAGTCCTATTTCAACTAGCCTTGCCAGAAATAGGCAGTTTTTATTGAGCTTTGAAGATGAAATCCTCAATCCTAAATCTTAATACCACTTTAATTGTTATTGTCAGTGAATCACGTACGTACACACAGACTAATTAAGGGTGGAGCTTTGTGATACAAAAATCTACTGTTGGCAAATTTCTATCTCAACAACTATCCACTGAAATTTGGGTGTTTGGGTGCTGCAGTTCAAAGTCAAACCTCAGAGCAGTTTACTCTCCTAACCTGGATGAAACAAACTAATAATGGGGCAATCTTATCTTGATGGGTGGCACCAAACTGCTTCTCTGGATTGGGTCTTAATGTCCTAAATTAACATGTATGAATTGTTTTGATTTGACATTGCTGTGCATCAGAGTGCCTTTGCAAACAGCTTTGTTCAGATATGCTCAATAGCAACAAATGAACATCACTTTACTTCAATTAGTAATCTCAATATTAACTGAATTTCTGGCCTGGCTATTGTGAAGCTGAATTGTTTATGACCTCTGCATATAAAAGTCATAACTTTGAGGACAAGGTACAATGTTGTATGTGAAACAAGGGCACAGGAGGAGAAAGAATGCATCCTCGTAAAAAAAAAAAAAAAAAAGTCAGAAACCTTAATTCTGTCTTTTCCCAAAGTATTTTTATATTTGAAGAAATATTTAAAAGTTTTTATGTAGGTCATTAAACAATATTAATTTCTTGCTGGTATATTATTTGTAAAGATATTAATTGAGAAGACAAAGTATTTTTCATACTCTTTATTGGATTTCCCAACAAATAGATGTTTTTATATATTTACTTAAAGTATGCGGTCCATATCAGATATTGTATACCTTTTGCCTCTGCTGTTTTCTCCTATTGCAAATCTGGGCCAGTTACATGCTACTAGTTGTTCTCACTGTTTGGCTGCTTTTGTGTGGAAAGAAAAAAATGCCTAAAGAATGAAAGGTGTTTTGTTGTGAAGATTTATGTTTTATAATTCTTTTGCTGCCTTTACAGTTGGATATAAGATGTTTACCTCTTCAAGTCTATCTTGATATTGCTTTTGAAACAATGAACTTAAAGGACGTTATGGCTAAATAGAGGAATGCAAATTATGTTTTGTATCAAGCAAGATTATTAAATGTAATTAAAAAGAGTTGTGTGTCATTATTGTGGTCGTGTGTTTGTTTTTGATTGTATTATTTGTTATATTTACTATGTTTGTGTTTGTTTATTGACCATTACTGTGTGGAGAAATGTTATAGCATTACATATCCAAACTCTTAATCCATATCACCAGTGGTGTGAGAAGTACTGAGAGCTTTCAATTAAGTTCATGTATTAAAAATATAAGCTAATAATACTTAATAACAATTTAAAATCTTACAATCAAAAGTAAAGTTACGTAAACACAAAGGAGTATTATCAAAATGTACTTATTACTTGTGTACTTATATAGGCTCCAGTTAAGTAGTTTTATCAATGCATCAGAAGCTGATCACATATTTTGGTGGAAACTTTCAATCTGAAAAGTAACTATAGCTACCAAATACTTGAGTATTACTATCTGAAATGTCAAGTAGAAGTACAGTAGAGGAGTGAATATACATCACACATGTATTGTGACTTATGCAGCTTATAGCAGATTGTTATATAGCATAGTGTACCTACTTTATGAGAACTACATTTGAGTGTCTCAGTATTTTAGTGCGTTTGAAGTCTGCAAGACAATACAGTATGTACAAAAATAATAACGTTCTGATCTATCGTCTGATACCAGTTAAATAAGAAATGCTGAAAAGGTTAAATAGTGACAGAAAAAAGGTTACTCAAGCCACACACTGTTAAAATAAACTGTGAGAGAAGTAGTGCAACAGCCTTTTGACGCCTTTTTTCTGCTCCCATCTAGTGGTGAAAGTTACACATTGTACGCTGAAGTTCATTGGACCAAAACTAAAAACAAAGTTTCCAGATGACACAATTAAACACTTAATGTTTCTTTGTAATAAAATTGTAGGTTATAACTGTGAATTCAGCTGTATGCAATGGAGTCGTCTCTTAGTCCAGAAGACCTTCCTCTCCATAGCAAGTGGTGGAGGAAGTATTCAGATCCTTTAGTTAAGTACAGGTACTAATACCACTTTGTTACATATAAAAGTCCTGCATTGAAAATGTTTCTTAAACCTACTACAAGGAGTCTTAAACTGGCTACGAAACAGTCTCAATTCAATACTGATGCCTCTATATGACCAACATAAGCAAACAAGACTAGTAGCGAGAAGACTGGCCAATTCTGTCTTAATAACTGCAACTAATGATTATTTCCATAATGGATTAATCTGTTGATTATTTTCTCTATTGATCAATTGATTGATATCTCAAAAATCCCCAAATAATTTATAGAAAAACATATATTTCTTATATCTCTTTGTATGTTTTCTATACAAAAATATAAATTTTTAAAGTAAGTAGTAAGTAAAGCTGTCAAATAAATGTAGTGCAGTATTTCCCTCTAAAATGTTGTGTCATAGAAGTATAAAGTGGCATGAAAATAAAAGACTTAAGTCAAGTACAAGTACCTTAAATTTATACATTCCTCCACTGTTCATATCCCATTGATGATTAAATCTAAAAACCTTCTTTACACTCTCTCTCGAACTTGATTCCATCTTTAAGATTAGTCGTTATTTGATTTCTTTTCTCAGCATTGAATTTACACAATCTTTTTATTGTCTGACATAAATCTGCTGTAGCACTCCATGCTCGTCACACTAGATGAGAGCATCACTTTAAGCTACAGCCATATACTCTCTTCTGAAGTGTGACCAAAGGTGAACAAGACCTTTAAAGACCTTCAAGTAAACAGCTTTGTACATTTTAAGCGACAGAGTCTGAATTAACAATTTCCTCAATCAAATTAACCCTTTTCTGACCCCAGTGTGACAGCATATGACTTCAATAGGGCCAAAAGTGTTTGCCACCAGTAGACACATCCTGACTATGCGTGACTCTCTGACATTCGGCACAAGCACGCTGCCTTTAACTGCTTCACCTTTGTCACAATGTGGTTTGGATCAGGCACTAGAGGGTGAATACTATCAGGCTACAGCTGTGGCCTGTGGCTGCCTCCTGCAGGGATAAATCACATTCAGAATCACACTCCAGACTGAAGGTGACCATGTGTCAGGACAGGTTCACTTGAAGCCAAGTCGCTTCTCTTCACAGCTGTTCAGTCGTACATCATTTTTTTCCCCTGCTTCTATGCAGTCTTCTGCAGATGGATTGCTTGTTTGTACAGCTGCCTAATTGCGCAATACTGCAGCTGCCTCAACAACTGTCCTCAAACAGGAAAATTGACTGGGAGCTGGTAATGATCGGACTTCGATGTCTGCAGGAAAACATCAGTCATCTTCTCGGATTCTCTGGACTAAGGTGACTTTATAGTTTGAATAAGGTCCAGAACAGTCAGCAAGACAGGATCCACATGTTCAAATCTGTGAATGTGCAGACATTTTTTTTGTCCATATTGGGGCCAATGTGGTAGTAAAATAAGATATGAAAGACATTTGAAATGTAACAGATTGCTCGATAAACTACTTAAAAAAAGTACTTTAAACATTATATACAGCTCCTGAATAAAGGGTATCATGAACTAAATAAAACAGTAACTTTAAAGTGTATTGAGACAAAATGGTCATTAATAAAGTGGGGAGACAAATACGTTTACATATAAAGTTAAACACAATAATTGCCTGTCTTTTGTTTGTCTTGTGTCAGCAGATAATAGGTTCAGCAGCTCAACCCAGTTTTTTCTGTAAAGAGTGGTTACAGGTTATTATTGGGGAATGGGAGAAAAAACAAGCATTCCACTAATCCAAATCCACTACAGAAGTTTGTACATTTGTCCTGTAGTGGCTTGCACAAGGTTTAGCAAGTCCTTTCATCCAATGTACTAACTATACTTCTGACGGACTGGGTAAACTTCTTAAATTTCTGCTGTAATCAACCAGAAGGTGGCTGGATGTTCTTGTTGCACCTTTTCACTTGGCTTCAAGTTCTGTATTGACTCTAGCAGTGACAGCTGATGCCATATGTTTCAGTCAGCATTGGATATAGCCACTTCTAAATACCTTCTGATGCGCATCATTCAGTAGAGTTCTGCAAGCTTTTTTGAAGGTCAAAGACATTACATGGTTGTCCAGTTTTCATGAGAGGATGGAGTAAGGAATAAGGAATAAGGAATACTTCACTCAAAGTGAATGATTATGCAGTTGTCTCATCCATCTGGGGTGTAAGTACTGATTGCAATTGGCACCTCTTCTGTGGGTAATGTTGATTTCATAATGATCTTTACTGCCTGAAGTCAAGCAGCAGACGTTAAGTGAAAGTTCAAATACTACTGACACTTTTTTGGGTAAAAGAAGAGTAGTCTTACATGTCACTGTTTATAACACAGGTATTTATCCTTTGCTGGATGGGCCGCTTAAAGAAAAACGGGGCAAAAATCAAGAGTATATCCAGTTCTTCAGACACCACTACACCACTCTCGAAAAAATCATACAGTTGTAGTCTTGTATGTGGATGTCTACATAGATCTTCTCCTTAACCGCTCCAGTAATTTGATATTGAAGTTCCATAAAGCTGGGAGACTTATGGGAGACAGATTTAAAAAAGAATGGTCAAAATAAAAGCATCAGAAGATGAGATATCCTGACTTTTAGTCTCTAGTGTTGGTCGAGCTCCAGGAACATTGGCTCTTACATTTACCATTATGCAACCAATAATAGTTAGACCCTTTCTGCCTGGTATCTTTTAAACCACACCTCAGTTTGTAACACAGACTTTCTGTTAAGAATTTATAGACTCCAAGCCTCAAAGACTTGCCTCAAGGACTTGACAAAGAAGATACTGAACAGCTGTTTTCACAGGCAGGAGAGTACGAACTGTGACGAGTAAAGTGACCTTTATGTGTAAAATTGGTGGAGTGCCTCTTTTTTGTGCTGATTTACATCCAAGTATATGTTTACTGTAACAGAGAATGTCCCACATATTCCAAAAAGAAAACAGTACAGTGAGACAAATTCTCACTACAAGTCCTTGGCTTCCCAGTCTAAATATAGGCTCAAGATAACCTATAAAATGAGCCAAAACAGTGTCTTACCAGTATCACCAGTATACAGTAGATAACTCACTGTAATTATGTAAGCATGTTATTCAATGAGGCTGGTTGGATGGGAAATTTTGCTCTTTGTAGATCCCACTTGTGTGAAAACGTTGTTTGTTCCTCCGTTTTTCATCAAAAAAATAGAATAATTTGGATAATAATAGATTTGTGGTCGTTCAGTCAGTCTGTAGTATTCCTTTTATTCCCAGCTTTAATCATTTTTTGGGTTTCTAACACAGGAAGCTGGATTAATATATGCTTGACTTCATTAAAACTATTTCACTACTAATCACAACATTCATTCACCAATGTGTCATTGACCCAGATGAGAAAGGATCCTGAGTTCATCCACTTCAGTGAGGTTTCAGGCTTCAATTTAATGCTTTGAAAGAAGTGCCCTTTAACTTGTCTACTGTTACCTGAATAACAGTTTTGCACTGGATCATGGCCAAGAACCACGTGTTGAACAAAGATACTGCAAGCTCAACCTGTGCAGACAATACATAATACAGCAACATGGCTGCGGTGTGGTAAGAAAAACTGTTTAGGGGTTCTGTGTTGTGTCTGGATGTACTATGAGACATAACCACTGAACTGTTTAGAAAGCTCAGCTGTTCAATGGACACCAGTGACATGAAAATGGAATGACTGTAAATCGCTGCTTTGCCCAGTTTACACCATTGTCTGCTGTAATATTCAAGCTGTTCTGTAGCAATTATAAGACGTTTAATATTTGACAAAACATTCCTACATTTGTAAAGTGTATGTCTCATCAGGAAAACAGGAGTAATAGAAACAAAATTGTGTTTAACATTTGCATTAAATTGGACATAATTTATTAATTTACTGACTTCAGAAGAAATTACTACTTTTCGATAATTTTTTTTTTGATAACTTATTTTTTAGAATATTTTGTAGTAGTTGACTAGAGAGCAACAGAAAACAAAGTAGTAGTAGGCCAACAGAAATATCTCATGTAGATAGTTGTACTTAACTTCTAAAG